ACCGCGGTTTTGTAATCGTAAATCAGGGGAGGCGCGGGGGCGAGGGGCCTGGGAGGATCAGTGAGGAACTTCCGGTTGCAGCTTAAAATCAGCGATGTAAAGCTCTCGGAGATGATGCACCTGAGGGAGGCGCCGGGATCCCTGAGGGACCTCTTCGGGCTCTCCCTGCATTTTGGAGATGATTTTCCGCACTTCGCGTGCTTTATGCGAAAACTTCTCCTCGAGCTTTTTCCCGGCTCGAGCATCCTCGGCCCTTTAGGCATCACTCGGGGTCGGGGGACCTTGTCGAAGAAATGGATGCTGCGAAGAACGGAGAGGAAGGCGCGGTACGAACCGCGAGTTTCGGTATCGCGGTGCCTCTCGCCTTATCAGTCGTATTTTTGGAGTTACGGTGCCTCTCGAGGGTTTGTCCCTCGTATGTATCTGGAGTCGCAAGAATATCTCAACAGTTTTCGGTCGCATCATTAGATACATTGACTTGAACGTTATTGCGATTATCAGCGTTATCGAGTCTTTCAATTTCATTCGTTGTAATCAGTCCACTCGGTATCATGGTACCTTGAGGGTTATCGATTCCATTTTTCGATACCACAACAGGTATTATTTTCTGGATTCACGGCATGGTGTTGTCGATCTCACCTGTCCGTATCATGGTGTTATCACTCGAATCCTTGTTATCACTCTCGTACCGAGATGCTTTAAAAATCATCAGGGAGCGTTCTTTCGAGAACCGCGACATCTTGAACGCTATCAGCCAGTCGTGACCAGAGAACTTTCAACCACTCTCCGTGATATCGGGAAGGAATTCCCGCATCTCGCGTTATCACTCGGCGTATCAGCGCGGGTGCCCATGGACCAGGGATGCATCGCGGGATGCTCTTGGTTATTTGGCCGCGATATCCTCGACGGGCTGTATATTATCGCACTATGGCTCTGTTTGCTATTCGCTTATGCAGGAGAGATACCAGGCCTCTGGTTAGTTTCTCACGTTCTATTTCCTGTGGCCCCGGAGGAGCGCCGCGAGAATACCTAGACACAGGTGCGAGACCACCAAGGAGGAAAGAACGAAATCCTACGCGGAAACTCGGTCTGAAATCCCGACTGGAATTTCCTCAAGTACCGGATATCCGGTTATCGTTGTCAGGCGTCATCGTCATCGAGACGGAATGCCATTTTACCGGGACAACAGGGAATTTTGGAGAGGCGAGGGAACGGCAGAAATCCGCGGCCTTGGCAATCGACGGTGTCATGTCATTTGAATTTCTGCTTTCGTCGACGAAAGTAAATGGCCAGGTCTCGTTCCTTTTTTTCTCTCTTTGTTTTTCGTCTTCTCTCTTTTTTTCCCCCCTGGCGAAATCCTGCAGGATTCTCGCGGTGCTCCGATTCTCATGGCGAATCGGCCCTTCGGGGCGCCCCATTGTCTGCGGGAAATCGATGGGTGTTCTCAAACGGATTATTGTAACTGCGAATGGATTATCGAGCGTCGTAATCTCGCCCAGGGATCTCTCCTGATTCCCTCGAAGGGAAATCCAATCGCGATTAAAACGAGAAGGAAAGGAGAAAGACATTATCACTCGGTGCGTGGCGGCCACGCGCATTAGAACACATCTAAATTAATTAGAATTATTAGAAATCTCCAATCAGGCTTCATTATCCTTTCACAGACTGCACTTATGCATTGTGTACTGCTTGTTTCCTATGTGATTATTTTTAAAGCCCCGTCGACGAAAAAATCCTCGAAAATTCGGTTAGTGTCTGTACGCGGTTATGAGGATGAATATCAATTATCTGTCATCAAAACTGTCTTACTTTCCGGATTTAGTTCCTTTCGCAATATGCGAACTTGTAAGTGTATGAAGTGCCCGATGAAGTTTGATTAAACAGATTTATAGGAACGGATCCTTGTCGTGGAGTCGTCTTGTATATTTTGGCGAACGGTTTCGTCGTCTTTGTCATCATTGTTGTCGGGGAGAAGTGCTAGTTATCTTTTTTAACGAATGAGTCCCATTCTCGAATTTGGTGACGCGAAAGGTATGGAGGGTCAAGCGACGTAAATTTTGTCCAAACTTTATGAACGAGCCGGGGATGAAATGTTTGCCTGTAGGATGGCGTTAAGGTTAATGACGGACAAGTGACAATCAGCCATGCAGCCTTGTCTCGTCTCGTTAGCGTTTCTCGGAGAGACACTAAATCTTGGCCGATTCCCCAGTCGGGATCGCTTAAATGGACATTCCGGTTCTTGAGGAGAATCAAACGACCACGAACGAATCAGCATCCGGCCTTGAACCAGTGACACAACGACATAAAGCTCGATCGCTTCGGTGCGTCGAGATCTCTCTCCCCGTGGGGATAAAATCGGAGCTAGGGGGTTGGTAAGAGGGACTTAAGATGATTAAAATTGAGCCGCTTGCCGGGATATATAGGCTCGTCCTCCCATAAGGCTCATATTCCCTGAGCGCCCCTTAGAATATGAACCTTCCCTTGTAACCGAGCTCGATCCAACTTGATACAAACCGTTCCAATTTCCCAAGGAAACGCTTCTTCTTCAACGACGTTGACAATTAAAATCACCATGCTAGGTCGTCCTTTTTAATTCGCGGAGAATTTAATTACTGAAGGATCTGGCGCGTATTGAAGTGGAAACCTCTGATTCGAGTCGACGATCGATCCCCTTCGATCTTATGTCGTAATGGTATTTTCAGCGGTATTTCGAGTACTCTAATTTTTAATGTTATTCGTAGCACGGTGAGGATTCATTCGGATAAGTTGACGTGGTTAATTTGAGAAGGATTCCTTTTTTTTCTTTTTCTGGATTTTCTCGATACATTCCGCGTTCTAGGAGGGATCTCCGACCTATGGGTGATGGTATCAGAGGATAGAGATCGTTCTTGGTGTGAGGTCTATACATGGATCGGGAGATGGCTTTCTCGTAACATTTCTGCCATGACCCAGCGGTGCCATTCCTTTAGAAATAGACCTTATAAAGGAGGCCCCGGTCGCGAGGCTCGAAGACCGTCGACAGGCTGCTCCAACTCCAGCTCCAGCTGCGCGCCGTTTAGCCACACGGACTTCTCGCCAAATCGAACTGACATCGACTCAATTTTCTTTCCGACCTTGGCACCTCGATCTGCCGCAGCTGGGCGTCCCTACGAGGCGGCCAGAAATGGCGAAACAGCGGAATTGCGGATCTGCGAGAATCTGCAGGCTCCGAAATTCTGGGGAGGGTCTGATAAGGTATACCGATCGTTTCGTTAGATTGAACAGAATTCGAAACGCAGATATCCTTGAGAAGAAAATCATTTTCCATGAAAGGTGGATGAGGATTCGATAAAACGGGATCAGCGAGAAATTCACGGCGGAAAATTTCGTTAGATTGAACGGAATTCGAAACGCAGATATCCTTAAGAAGAAAATCATTTTCCATGAAAGGTGAATGAGGATTCGATAAAACAGGATCAGCGAGAAATTCACGGTGGAAAATTTCGTTAACCTGAACGGAACGCAGATATCCTTGAGAAGGAAATAATTTTCCATGAAAGGTGGATGAGGATTCGATAATACAGGATCAGCGAGAAATTCACGGTGGAAAATTCGTCCCGAAGGTAGAAGGCACAGGTCGAGCGGAATTCTAAACGCCGATATACTTGAGAAAAAAAAAATGTTTTCTACAAAAGAAGGACCAGGACTCGATAAAACAGGATCGGGCAGAACTTCACGATGGAAAATTCGTCCTAGACCCTGGGAAGGTAGAAAAGGTTAAAGGGAAGTCCAGGTTGTCGGTTCCTCTTTCCTTTTTCCTTTTTCAGAGCCGATCGATAGACGAGGCGATGAAGTCGGTGCTTGGCAAAGTTCCTCACTCGGGGAGACCAGGATCCCGTCGAAGGATTCTACCAGTTTTCGGTCATCCTTGCGGACTTTTCGCATGGGGACGGCATTATATCAGGACATCTCGTGGCCAACGTACCCGGGTTGCAGGAGGTGCACTCACGGGGCCCGTAAATCCCTTCAAACTTGGGGAATAACCCTCGGGGGCATACGCGGGTGCGTGCACGCTAAGTGCGCATGCGAGGTACGATGATCGCACGTATAAGGTGTCGCAAATTAATCCCGCTAATTGCGTTAGTTCGCGTTAGAACGTCGGCATAGAGATTCCCGCCGAAGCAGTTGCAAAATGGCTGTCGCTCAGTCAGCAGACGGTCGTCAAACCGTGCGGTGCATCACCTGTAAAATGTGCATCTATTAATAACCAACATAAAATAATCATTACCATCGAGATTAGATCATGCGGTAGATGGGCAGAAAAATTCATGAATGCGTGCATTCAAGAATCTACATAAGAAGTACCCCTTTGCCTTGGTTTCTCATCACTCGTGAACCGTTCACCTGTCGCGTTGAAAGATTTAGGACCACGTGACCTTTCTAAGATTAATCAGAGCGGAATAATTATTAGGGGGGAATGGAGGTGGAAAACTTGAGGTACCTCGAGGCTCGATCAGAGGGTTGCCAGTGGGCGTCTGGGATCCAGAAAGGAGGCAAGTTCTCGGCGTAGGACTCGGGAAGGACGGCTCGACCCGGTTAGGACGGCCGTGAGTTACGGTGCCTAAAAAGTCCCCCGGGGACGGCATAATGGAGTAACCGTACACGGTCGGCTACCGACGCGTTAACCCCCGGTTGGTTGACCCGAAACACGGAGTCAACAGTAATTTATTAGACGCGCAGTGAACGATCCGCTCGGCGTTCCGTTAGTCCGCGGATCCCGCGACGTCGGCGAGCGATCGTCCGACAGGATCACGGGGGACCCGCGGCGCCGTGAGTGGAAGCGAGAGGGAGCGAGGCGCGCGGCCGGGCGCGCGAGAGAGAGGGGGCGAGCGAAGCGGCCGCTCGTGGGTGGAAGAGGATCGAAGGGGGAGCACGCGGCCGCGTGGGGGAAGCGGGTGGCAGGGGTATGTCTAACGGCTATATACGAGCACGAGGAGGCCCCGGCAGAGAGTGCCGCTTTATAAATCGCGAGGATGCCCGTCGGTGCCGTCCAGCCTCCACGTGCGAGCGCCCGGTGAACGTTCGACCGACGTTCGGCGAGAAAAAGAAGGTTAGAGAAAGTCTGGCCCTTCGGAGGGCGACCACCCTCCAGTGAGCTTTTCGGAACTGCCACGGCGCCACCGGCGTCCACCTAGCGACACGTGCGCCTGGAACGCGGAAGCCGATTGGCCGAGTCCTGGTGCTAGGTGAGCGCTCCCCGTGAGAGCGAGAGAGACCGCGCGACCGGCCGCCCGCGGGAGCGAGAGAGACGCCCTTATCTCCGGCCACACTGGCCAAACGCCACCCGGGGAGATTCGGCCGTAAGGCGCGCCATCGATCGCTGCAAATTGGATTTAAAGAAGAAAGAGGCGCCCACCTTGCCAAGAGAGAGACCGGGTGCTCGTAGAGGAGGACTCTGATACCCAGAAAAACGAGGAGTGGCTTTTTTGTCGGTAAGACCGCCGATTTAGACCCGGGGACGACGGGCCTTTCTGCCACCAATCCGCGCGCCGGTACGGCGGAAATCGTTTCCCTTGGAACCGTATCATGGACTTAGGATGTATGAATTCTGCACATTGATCTAAGGATAAAATGCAACCGAAGGCCGGAAACAAAGGGACCGCTTTCAAACTCTTTTTCTTCCCTTTTACGTGAAAACCGTTTCGCTGCGTACTATATGGCTACAACAATTGGGTTGGCTCATAAGGTCTTGCTGATTAGGTATTGAAAATTTTATCACATCATTTCATTGAATATGCTGGGTAGAAATTCCGCAGGGCGATGGAGAATATATTGTTTATCCATATTGTTAAATTTCGTTTCATAAACTGGAGTTTTAGTACAAAGGTGATAAGGGCTCACGGGGTGGCCCATGATTATCGATAACGCTACCAGAGAGAGAAAGGTACTCTTTCTATTTTCTTTTTCTTCCCCTTTTTGTCACTGTTTAGGTCTCGCGATTAAGGGATTCTTGGATCATCGGAATTATTGTTACGTGAGTGCCGCGCCGCTCGGGACGTACTATTAGGAGGAACAATGTATGTTATTGTCAGATACGGATAGATAAAAGGAGCCTGGAGGTCGCCGTTTGCGTTCGATTCTCCGATCGCAGTTTTACGGGCGACGCCACTCGCGCGTCTCCGCGAGTAAAGAGCCGGACGCGGAAAAAGACGCCGTCGTTAAGAGAAAAAGAAAAAAGAAAATCCATAGTAAAGTTGTGAAACTCGTATCGCGAGTTTCATTCAGTCACAGATACCCTGAATATACACGAAAAAAATATTGAACGGGAATTTTAGTTTCGCGAGGTTTTACAAATTTCCGACAAAGGCCCGCGAAATTCGAAGCTCGTTCGTAAATGCACAAATATTGTGTGCTATCTGAAATCTTAGGGTGAATTCGAAGGTGCATAAAATTTGCAGACATTTTCATAGGAGAATTGTCTGGGCTTTTTTTTTTCTTTTTCGAATTCTGTTAGTGCCATGCTTCGGGCTTTCGGCTTATCTAACTCGGCATGGTTTTTATTCCACATCTCTCCCGGTAAGTGGAATCTGTAGGTTTTCTGAATCCATGGGAATAATTATATGCGAATTAATGGAAATTAGGTGCATGTTTTGTCTCGGAGAGTTTTACAGAATGGAGGCTGACGCGTACCTCTCTATATTTCATGTCGACGGCGTATTAATTACCGTTTAAATTCATGCCGTGAATTTTCTGCGGCATTTTTACTAGAAAATTGGCAGGAGTTTATTTCGAATATTTCAGTGGAAACGTTCTCTCGTTAGTCGACTGTCTACAGCCGAGTGCAGCTTGCGTCAATGATACGGTCAAGGCGTAAAAGTTTAAAATAACATTCAATACGTCGAGATACGTGTGCGTTTAATATCGGCCCTGACTTCTCGTTTCTCGAAATTACAGAGCCGAGGGAATCGCTCGACGAAGGCCGAGCCGCTCCTAGGAGGTAAATCCTCGACTGATCCTGCGAGAAAACAGACAGGAAGCGAGGAGGAACTCGTCCTGCACGACTCGAGCGCGAATACGAATGAGATTCGCACGTTTCATCGGCGAAGTGACGTGATCGACCGAACGAGTAAGTGAAATAACTCATTTGCACGCACGTGGAGGGATTTTATGAAAGAGGAGACATTGAAAAGAGTTACGAAGGTCCCTGAGGGCGAATCGAATTTTCATACACGTAACATCGAAATGAAAGGGACCATGCATAATTTATACAACCGCGAAACGGAACGAGAAACGTGTTGGAAACCCTTTCGAAGGCCTCTTAGGTACTGGGAATTTAATTTTTACGTGTCATTCTGGAATGAAAGAGACGCGGTACAATTTATAGCCATCGTCTAACGGAAAGGAAAATGTATTCGAAATGCCTTTGAAAGCGTTACGAGTGATGGGAATTGCATTTTACCGGCAACTGTGGAGAAAAAGGGATGCGGTAGAATTTCCAACGAGAAGAAAAAAAAAGGTGGATGAAATATTGAAAAAAACCCTTCCGAAGATCGGATTGGATTTTGCACATTTTACTTCCATATTTCATTTCGGATTAAATGGGATGCGGCATAATTGCCGTGCGCCGTGCAAATTGTTATAGTAATACTTTAATAATTATATGTTAAGGGAGGTGCAGTTTAATTGGCGAGATATAAAAAATTATTGAGACCTTCTGGAGTTTCCATCTCTCGACGTTTCATCTCGTTCTATCGTAATCCACGTTACGGCTAATTACCGCAGAGTACACGGCGCATGTATCGCGTGTCATTACGCGAATCGATGATTCGAGTCAACCGGGATGTTAGCCATAACCTAGGGACCCCAGCTATCAGTAAATTACGAGACACCCTGATATACCTGTGTACACGCGAGTACTCTACGTACGCATTGCGTTACGTACCGCACGGTGCCGCCGTAAAAGCGTACGCAGCTAAATCTCGTTGCGAATTACTCTTTCAGTGCCTCCTCCCCTCTCTGTATAAATCCAGCCCTCTCTCGCTCCTTCCCATGAAATTTCCCGAGTTTCCCTCCTCGGGTAATTCATGACGATTTGCGCGGCGCAATCTGAAAAACTGACCAGCCTTGCGAGTCTCGTGGTAATAAATCGCGACGGGGTGTTGGAGAAATATCCACCATCGAACGACCTGGTGCATGCGTCAATTTTAGTGCCAAATTAAACGGCAAAACATGCCTCGACTTTCGACTCGATGGAGCGATCCGCAAAAAATCCCATCCCTTGCCTAGGGACATTTTTTAAGGGCAACTCCTCACCTCACGGCGGTGTAAATTCACCCATCGTGAAAGGGTCTCGAACCAGAGAGGAACGATTTTTATTTCTGACAGTTAATTGTTATTCCTATTAATTATTGTCTTTCGGTACTGATGGAATTTCTGTCAATTTTATGTTTACGGTTAAATTTCTTTCCACCCTAATGGCGTGTTTTTAGGAGTCGTGGGGAGGAATCGATCGCGACTTGAATTTCTATTACGAGTTCGAGGTATTGACCGGGGGGGATGTACATTTTTTTTATCGGTAACTCTTACTCCCCTATTTGTTTCGCGCTCCTATACGTGCGACGATTAACGATGACCACGTTATGGCCAATTAGTGCGGAATAAATGGCACGTATATTGCGGCCCATTATGCAAATCGATGATTCGAGTCAAACGCGTATGTAGTTAACCTGCCGCGATGCAAGGCTACCAGTGCATTACGGGATGCATTGAAGCACGTAACTATCTATTTGCGTGCCCTCGGATGTGCCGGCGTGTAAATGCGTAGGCGCGAGAAATCGCGTTGTAAATTACTCTTAGTGTTCATTGACTCGATCGAAGTGCCAGCCGAGCGGATTGACTCGTTGACACTCGATCGATCGCCGATAATCGAATCCGCCGCAGCCGTCATTGGCCGTTTATGATCCACTTCCAGAAAACCTCCTGTCAGTCAGTTCCAATTTTCTTATTAAAACTGTCAATCGTTCACTTAGACATTGCGTGCAAACTGATCAATTCCTTTCTCAACAAAAAAAGTCCATTACATTTATGGAATATATACTGCAAGTTTTATACAGACATGGTATATGAAATTTTCTCAATATACACGCTGTTTAATTTTTCAACCAAGTATGACATCTTTCAGATAGAAGGTCACAGAAAACATTCGACTATGTATTAAAAATATGCGAAATTCACAAACGCGGTTAACAGGGCACGTCATATTTATTTGCGAATAAGGTGAGGCGAACCAGTGCGGAATAAATAATATGCACGTGGCTCTTATCAATACGCAGATCGATGGTCTAGCCTCTTGCCATGCGTCACGAGATGCACCGAGGCGCGTAAGTGCAGTATCTAGATGCATTTGGGGTGCACCACGTGACAGGGTGTAAACGTCAAGTTTCGTTGATCCCTTTCTCCGTATCTCTGTAGCGGCTAGTCTGGAGTTTCCTCCTTATCCCTATTCTCTTCACTTTCCTTTTCTTCATTACCCTCGTTTCCCTTATGTTCCTTAATTTCCTTCGTTCTCTTTATTTTCCTCGTTCACTTCAATTTCCTCCTTTTCTTCATTTTTCTCGTTTTCTCCCGACCTGCCCCTTTTTCCTTTTCCTTAACCACGCATCGCGTTAACGGGGACGTTCTCGGGCGGTCGCGTTATATCGCAAAACCGTAATTATAGACCTTTACTCATGTACCGAAGTAACAATCGCGCGGAATTCACGATAGCGGTGTAACGCAACGCGATACTGCCTATTCAATAAACAAGTTTTTCGCAAAAGCAGACTCACGGGCGTGCTCGTTATACGGCCGGGCCCGTTTAACGCGGCCGTTCTCGATAAATCGCGGTTACGTCGGCTCGTACGAGCTCGGATCGGAAATAGCCACGCACAATTTCCTATCATTGTCTATCGATTGCATAGATGACGAAGAGTGACCTCGTACGAGCGACGTCAGATGCTCGCTACCGAGTCATGCCGATTATTGGCACCGAATAATCGATCATACCTGCATGGCATTTTTTTTTCTCAAATATTTACAAAAGAGATGGCGTATAGATTTCGGTAATTTTAAAAATGTATAAACACTACCTCTTTACCTTATCCCATACCACCATCCGATATTTATTTTTATCTGCTGGATTTTCCTGCTTGTAAAAATCCCTGATGAATCGCCGATAAATTTTACGTGTTAAACGATATGAGACGTTGCGCGTAAATTTAAATTGTAAAGAAATTCCACATTTTAATACAACTTTGTCTGCTTAAATCGAAGGGGATTTTTAACAGGGTGGGATATTTCAGATTTTATTGATCACTCTGGGATTTTTTAAGGACCTCGAGTTGCGGATGATTCGGGATTGAAACGTTGTACCATGGTTGTATGTCGGTGGAAAGGGGGTCGCGAGTAGTTTTCTCATTTTCACGTAGACGGTGTGTCCTCGGCGGATTTTTTTTTTTTGATCTCGCCAGCGATGTGCAATCAGCTGCGCAATGTCAGTCGGATGACCAGAGGCGCGGCATGAACGCGTTTGTGCGGTGTACTCTATTCGCGTATTCGATTAAAAAAGGGTGGGCTCAATCCGCCGTGCATTTGCAATAAATCGCGTTTACGTTGGCCCGAGCAGCCGGGCGATCAACTGTTCGGAAATTGCAGGGCGGTATTTGATCATCGACGCTCGATTGGCCGGACGATGACGACGTCGCGTGACGTCGCCCGGATGATCGGAGATCCGATGCGCGTCGATTTGATCGGGAAAACCAATTGATACTTCTGGAAAAATGAAAGAAAAATCGCAACAAAGATTCAACATCTTCAATGCAGTCGGGAAATAATTCTGTTGATACAGGAAAAAAGGAAGAACGAGTGCAAGACCGGTCTACGATCGTCTAACGATTTCGAAATAATTAACAGCGTGTCCGTGTAATTAATATTAATTTTTGTTAAATTAGGTCGAGGTGGGAATATTGGCATCTCATCTAGAAATAGACATTTTCAGAGTCTTTATGGGAAGAATAATTTTTCCCGGTCTGCAGGGATCAGGAGTCGCGCGATTTTCCGAGTCGAAAGGGTGGAGGTGCTACCCTTAGGAAATTCGGTTTCGCGGCATCGTTATTCAGGGATGGCCCCGGAGGGAGGAGAGGGTGTCAGCGATATAGAGAGGTCCTGGATCGCCGGTTAACGAAATGTAAATCCCGGGGACTAGGATGGCACGGAGCCACGGGATATCCTGCGTCCTCCTCTTTTCCTTCGGGCTTCCTTCCGGTTCCCTCTTGGCGACTTCCTTCGGGCTGGCCGCGAGCCGAATCCGCGATCGCGTTAACCCATTTTCCTATTTTCTTATTTTTCTTTTCACCTATCAAGACCTCTTCCCACCAGAAGATCCGATCTCTTACAATGTCTCCTGCGTCGGATCTAACAATTAACTCGTCGCCGGTGACACAATCGTTTTACCCAGCACCCGTCATCACGCGATACGATTTATGGAAACATCTAGGCGTGACGCGAGAGGTCTCAATGCGGCCTTAATGCGGCCTTAACGCGGAGATATCATAAACACACCCAGCATCCGATCCGAAGGTCTTCCTCGAATCTGAGCGTCGATTCAAGACCACGTAGATCTCATTACAAGCACATTCAAACCCCACTACCCTGTTAAACATATCCGTCCTATAACTTAACCATACAAACCCGTATAAAAAATATAAATAAAATCCAGGATTTTCATCAGCAGCAAATTTCTCTAAACCATCAAACGACATTTCCTCCGTGATTTTCTTCGTTTAGGAAGCATGGGTCCTTTGATAAGCTCAGGGTTGAATTTGCAAAGGTGCAGAAATGTTTATTTAATTTTTTGCTACTTTTCAACGGTGTGCAATTTTTTAACAGCTTAAGCCTTGCTCCAGGAAGGACATTTGGAAGAGATCAGGTCTTTGTCTTATCATTGGTCTCTTCTTTGGATCAGGTACTTTAAATTGGACAGGTGCGATTCGATGCCCTATCAATGGCTGCTCCGGCATCTTCGGGAGCTCGCTCGATCCCTCGAGGAGGATTATCGAGCGGGGTCGACGATTCGATTTATCGGGCCCG